CAACTGAGAAACGAGATGACACACCTTTCGAGTTAATTCACTCCGACCTTAGCAGACGATTCTCAAAACCCTCCTTTGGCAACTCCTGGTACTATGTTACCTTCATCGATGACAATACACGCTATGTATGGATATACACCATAAAAGCAAAGTCCGACTCGGTAAAAGAGTTCGAACAATTCATCAACGAAAGAACAACCCAGGATTCCACTATCATCAAAAGATTTCGTACTGACAACGGAGGTGAGTACATCAATGACAAAATGCTTATCCTTTTTCAGAAGTATGGAATTGTGCATGATAAGACCCCTCCTTACTCACATGAATCTAATGGTGTTGCCGAAAGGTACAACCGTACCATTATTACATCGACACGCTCTATGTTGACTGGACTCACCCTTAGCCTTTGGGCCGAAGCAGTCTCCACCGCTGTCTACCTTAGGAACAGACTCCCTAACTGAGCCATAGGAAACTCAACGCCCTATGAAGCTATCTACAAAACAAAGCCGTTGATCAACCACTTGCGCCCATACGGGACCAAATGCTACATCCATATACCAGAGGAGAAAAGAAAACCTGGAACGAAGCTACAGCCCCGGGCCTTGGAAGGATATCTTGTCGGTTATACCTCCTCCGACAAAATATACCAGATATATATACCATCACAACATCGGATCTTTGAAACCAGACAAGTCCATTGGACAACCAAGACGATAATACCGCTTGACCCAACAAGACAACCGACCTATACATCGGAGACCTTTGCGACCGTCACACTTCCCTCTTCCCAGACCGCCCCGCACTCTCACGACAAGCCTCAAGAAGAAGAAGATGACGACCAACAATCCTCACCATCAAATTCACCTCCATCAATGCCTTTACAAAAGGATTCCCCACCTCCTTCACCTAAAATCGAGCCTCCAGAAGAAATCGAATGTCCTGAATCACCCTTAATATTACCGGAACCTCCAATACAGGAACCACCCCGGGTAGAGGATGAACAGAGACGAACTCGATCAGGAAGAGCCGTGCGTCCACCGCAATGATATGGCAGAAATGCCACTGAAATTCCAGACCAGGATCCTACCACCTACCATCAGGCTATAAACAGCCCCTACCGTGACCAGTGGACCTCAGCAATGGACTACGAGATTTTAGCTCTTGAGAAAAGTGGAACCTTTAACGTTGTTGACAAACCAATAGGACAGAAAATAATCGATAGTAAGTGGGGTTACAGAGTCAAATGGAACGCTGATGGCACCTTAGAAAGGTATAGAGCAAGAGCCGTCGCCAAAGGGTTTAGTCAAATTCCTGGCTTCGACTTCAAAGAAACCTTTGCCCCCGTTATCCGTTATGAATCTCTCCGCTTCCTCCTTACGATATGCGCGAAAAACAAATGGCGACCACGACAATTCGATGTTAAATCTGCCTTCCTATATGGTGAATTGAAAGAAGAAGTTTAAATGCGACCGTTACCTGGGTTCGGTGACGAAGGCAAAGTATGGAAACTTAACCGATGTCTCTATGGACTCAAGCAATCTGCCAACGAATGGTATACTCTCTTTGCTAGATTCTTGACCTCCAGAGGATTTGCGACATCATCCCTTGACCCATGCATGTTTGTTCACAATAAATACGACATCTACGTTTCGATTTACGTTGACGACATCACCATCTACGCAGCCGACACCCCCGAAGCTACATCTCTCATAGAAGACCTGAAAACGGCATTCAAGATTACAGACCTAGGGGAAGCCACCTTCTTACTCGGCTTGCACATCGCATACGCACCAGACGGGCTGCATCTTACCCAAGAGCAATACATCAAGTCAATCCTTAAACGATTCAAAATGGAAGACTCAAACAGTGTTTCTACACCCTTACCAAAAGGCATTCAACTTATGAAAGGAACCAAGAATACATGCATTAAAAACCCCTCCACTTACCAATCAATGATAGGATCACTTATGTATCTGACTACTAGCACAAGACCCGATCTAGCGTACACAATCTCTTTCCTCTCACAATTTTCTGCTTGCCCTACCGAACAACACCTCAAGGCCACCAAACACATCCTTCGATATGTTAATGGAACAAAACACATTAGACTCTTCTATCCTTACAACGCGACAAACGCTATTGATACCTACGTTGACGCAGACTTTGCTGCTTGCCTCGATACCCGCCGCTCCTTCTCAGGATATGTTGTACTTCTCAATGGTGCATGTATCTCATGGTACTCGAAGAAACAAGCCTCAGTCGCACTATCAACAACGGAAGCCAAATACGTCGCAATGTCACTTGCCGCAAGACAAATCCAATGGTTCCAAAAGGGTCTCAAAGATATCCGTCTTGACCTACCAATCGCCTTTCATGCAGATAATACTGGCACAAACTTTCTCGCAAGAAACCATCAACTAAACGAGCGAACAAAACATATCGATGTTCACTACCACAAAATACGGGAAGAACTCGTTAAAAACATGTTCACACTCTTGAAGGTTGCATTCTCCGATAACCTCGCCGATATCTGCACAAAAGTTTTAGCAATTCCAGCACACAAACAGTTAATGGGACTTCTGGGCTGTAGATAATGAGGGGAAGTGTTGAATTTCCTAATTCG